CCCCAAAACCCCAAAACCCCGAGAGTCTACTTCTAGAGGATGTAAGAAAAATAAAAATTGAAATAAATATTAAAAATGTTAAATTTTAACTCTAGTAGGGGAGGAATTAAGACAAAGTCAATCATATCTGCAGATATGCCGACCTATCTCATGTAAAATCCATCAATTCCAGTTCAAGAAATAAGCCCAAACAAGAAATAGAAGTCATTTTAAAAGAAGAATAAACTTGCATTGGGAGTTTCTAAAGAATGGAACCAATCATTAGTCAATTAGTCAAGCTTGTTTCATGATGTATCAGACAACTTAAATGAGTCTCTGCCATATTAAGAGGAGCATTCTAGAGATAATACATTCAAAAAGATAAAGCGTATTGAAATCAGCAATATATTCAATAGAAATCAATCATCAGATAATAATAACACAAATTACTTGCAAAGGAACAATACATAAACTTAAACACCATCTTATCGTAATGATCTAAGAATGAATAGCAGTGATTAAGAGTCTTAAGAATTGGTTAGCAGGTAGGATATAAGTTAGTCTAATTATAAAACTACTTAAGATAAGGGTGGTAGAACGACAAACCTAACTCCACTTAAAAAAGTCTCAAATAGATTGATGGTTAATGTCAATAGAGATAAATTAAGAGATGAGATAAGCTAAATATACAGTCAAAATATTGCGAGTAAAAAATCAGAATCTGTATTTTCAACCGATCTCAAGAATTATGCTACAAGCTTCAACATTAAAGAATAATTTGTCGAGAATAACAAAAGCAAGAGCTTGGTAAGAATACCGTTGAATCCTGTTAAAGTTTACAATTGTCTTACAGATCAAATTAGTGAGTATTAACCCCCAGATATAAAAATCTATGAAGATTCTAAATTTTAATCTAAGTAAGATTAAATATCTAAATAACTTTTTTCTAAATATAGCTATCAAAGACTTTTAAGTTAAGAAAAATCATTCAACAAAAAGATTGGATACTTTACTTATGAGGTTAAGAATAAATAAGAACTATAAAGACATTTGAGAAATAATTAATCTATGATATAAAAGGATGATAGGTAATAAAACTCTATCTTAATATTATTTTTCTATTAGGGAAAATTAGTACGCTAACAAAGATTATATATGCGAAAGATCCCTAGGTAGAGTATCAATCGATCCATCAATAGATAGAATATCTGTTAGTATTCATTAAAAAGGAAAAAACATAATGAGCTCACATTTAGAAAGTTAAAAATTATCAAAGAGATCTTAGTACTCTTCAACAAAGGATTATACTTAGGTCTAATAGTTTGATTAAAATTAAAGCCAAAGCAGAAATAAAATATTTATGAAAAATAACAAAACTATTGCTAATCAATTATTAAATATGACTGACTCTAATGCTAAGGAAACTGATGATTATAGACCAAAACTAATATCTATTAATGAGAAGAGTGTTAAGAATCTCATTGGAGGAGAGATGCAAGTAGATTAGATTAAATGTTTCTTCCGAAATAATCGTAAAGGGCATAAATCTGTATAGCCTAATATGAGGCACAACCATAGGCTGACATACATGTCCAAAAATGAAATTTAGAGAATGGAGTAATAGTAAGATTTTATGAATGATACCATGTATAAGCACATGATTAGAGATATAGAGCACTTAGATGAATTTGAAGATAAATTTTGTAAAGACAATTCTATCATTTCCAACTTACCAAGAATGAAGCATAAATATAACATTTGAGATTCAATTATTAATTATTCTATTGATTTTTGCATTTTTTATATAATTTGAGATCATGGGGTTTTGGGGTTTTGGGG